CGCTTCATAGTATGTCAGCCATGTTTAGTACCCTCCCTAGTACCTTTGTCATAGTAACTTAAGCCGGTTGCGCCTCTCTGAGAAATCTAGGACTCTAGATTAGATTAGGTTCAAGGCATTTGCACATGAAAAGAAACTGACGTGAAACGCGTCTACGTATAGATCATAAATTCGTGCATCTACATGTCTGAAGGTGGACACATTTAACAGGTTCGATTTTTTTTAACGTTTCGAATATTTACGAATGTAGAGGATTGGATAACCGTGTAGGGTGTAAAGGGGAAATTTCTGTAACGCGCGTGAAATATTAAACATAACGTTGGAGTACAAACGATGATTCTAACCATTAATTGCGACGCATAATTTTTTTTACGTCAATTGGAAGTATAGTATGTATAATATTGCAAATATATACAATCGTAAATCTTTATTTTAAAAAATTACTAATGATCGAGAGTGATCAAAATCATCTTTTTACACATAAAAGTATCGCCATATTTCACAATAAAATATTATAGTCTTAAAATGAAATCGAATGTAGGAATCTGTTTACACTCTTGAGTATTTATCAGCATTTTGACAGCTTCGTCACAAACATCAAATACTCCATACTGATTGAAAGCTTGCAGCAATATTGCTGCAATAATGTTTGCAATATTACTGCAATATTGCTGGAACGTTGCAATGTTGCTGGAATGAAATTCGTGCTGTATAGGATCGATAAAATTTCTAAATCATGGTTGCAATTTGCTTGCCTACGGTAAATTGATAATAAATTTCGTTCAAATCGAGCGCGTCATAGCATTTATTTAAGGGCTTTATGCCCTCACACGTCAACATATTTATCACGCCTGGAGGTATCCCAGATGACAAAAACAGGTCGCAATATTCTATTATATTGCACGATTTTGCGGTACATATTACGACGACGGAATTGCCGATTATTAAACTCTGTGTCAATTTACGAAACAGATCTGCTTCTCTCTTCTCTATAAGCGTGATGACACCTTTTGGTTTACGGGTTCTTATCACCAAGGATCGTCCACTTTGAGGCTGCAATGAATTCTTGTACCAGTGTGGAAATTTTATCCATTTGAGTACTATTTCCGACAATTCAGATTTACTAAAAACAAAACCGGAAGAAGATAATATAAACTATGCATAAGAGATACAATAATTTTATTAGTTTGAGGTACCTAATGTATTCTAGTAAAAACGCGAACTTGGATAATATTTGCATTCTGGATTCAGTGGACAGCTCACTCCAGATTTTGAACCCTTTTATAGCTGATATAAAACATCTGCTCATATCATCTCTAGAATAATATAAAAATTGAAAATTTGTTAGAAATCATTATTGAATTTCTTAAATTCAAAATTTATTATTGGTTGAAATTAGGCAAGATGTATACTTTGTTGCACTTGCTCTTAGTATAGTAGTGTTATTATGTAACCAATAAGTATTTTGTACAGGCTTTTGCCATGTACCGTCATAAAACATGTAATTATAAATCGGATTTGCAGGTACAGGCCTCTTTTTCGAACATATTGGCTTTATCATGTTTACTATGTGATGTTCTTCATTAAAATTGAGATTACACAGTGGAATCTTGAATATTTCTATATAAGGCATAACTATCATCGTTTCATAGAAATCCAGAGTATTTATGAGGACAATATTTCTCTGTTAAAAAGAAAAATCGTTTGAAAACAATTTGATAGTATTGTGCTATACAATTTAAACAATAAAGAGTAAAATCAATTTAAATATGCATACATCTAAAGATGCTGCTAAATTTTTTGCAGTCGCAATATCTTCAGACCATATGGATGTTACGTTTATTTTATAAGATATAGGAGGTGTAAGTAATTCTTGCTTAGATTTAAATACACGAATAACATCAGTGAATTTGCTAAAAACTTTATACATAAGTGACAAAAAGTTGCATTTTATTGATTCTGATACCCATATTTTACTTAAATTTCGAGAGTTTTCTGATATCTTTAAATATTTAATAACTGCATATAAATCCGAATCTTCTAGAAGTATTATTTCAATGGTCTGATCTATATATAAAATTTAAAAAATTTTTATTAGAGGCGAAAAAATTTTTTAATTAAATCTTAAATCTGTTTCTCTTACGTGAAAATAACTCTTTATACTTCTTATTATATAGATCATTATCTGCCAACGAATTTGTGCTAAAATATAAAATAATATCAAACTATTTCGAAAGCCTTTAGATACATTTTTTAATTCAAAATTCATTCAATTTTAAAATAAAGTATAAAGCATAGAGTAAAAGAAAAATTGTTGATTATATTAGAGCTGTTTTCGCAATAAAATTTATAACATAACGTATAAAGACTTTTGAAATGCTCTCTCTGTAAACAGACGTGTGTAATATTCACACTAATTTTAACACAAAAAAAAATATGAATCGATTAATATCTTCAATAAGTATTTAATAATAGAATGAATTTCAATTAGATAATTACATGATGCAAGTTTCTAAAAAATATTGTACGTCATCCCTTGCGCAAAAATTAAGAAGTGTCAGTATTAACGTCCAAATAAGTTCTTGTTTAATCTTTTCTAAAAAAAATAAAAGAAACACAATCTGTTCTTATTTATAAACAAAGTAAAATATTAAAAAGTGAGCATTAATGAAATATTTTTACAATTACAGATATATTACCTGTAATACGATTAGGTTTATATATGTTTATCCTATAATAATTTACATATGTTATAATAGCTTCAGGTACATCTGTGTGATTACAAATAGATTTGAAAAGAGGCATATGATTCTCTAATATTAGTAATGTCTTTTCGAGTCTACAATTGTAAAAAGCAATTAAAGATGATAGAAACAAAGATAGATGATTTTTACTTTTAGCTGTAACTTTTGTCGTATCGTTCGCGATAAGATTAAATGCCAATTTAATGTTTTTACCTATCCACAAAAGTTTCATGCTTTAATTTTATCTCCTTGCACATAGCATATATTTCCATTGATGCTTTCTGAAAATGACGTGAAAGGAGACAGCATTATAACAAAGAGTGATCAGATCCTTTTCTCTCATCTCATTTTTAACAAGAGTGATCAGGTCTGTTTCTTTAGCCAAAAGAATTTCCATTTTTAACGGTAAATTTTGCGGTCTATTGGCAATTTGTTTGTGTATATGTAGATCTAAGTACTTACACTTTTTTTACTCTTCAGTTCTTCATAGTCTAGATTGATGTAATATTTTTCTATATTCCGTAGGTCCATGCTCTCAGCAACAGGCAAATCTATTAGAATAATTAAAAAGATGTGCGTGTCTTGACGATTGAACTGCGCAGCAATTGTAGTAAAAATAGACGGAAACACCCTTGTGTTCGCAGAAGAAAGATATTTTGCTTTCGAAATCGAACATTACGTCGACGTCAAAGATCTATTTGTAAATATCGTTCCATATCAAAATTTGAAGAAATATTGCTAAAACTTTACTGACCTCGTCATCGAGGGACGTAAATAATATATTTTGTCGACGTTTCGCTTCTCAATATCTACAAGCAATACTGTACATAATACTAATATCAGGATTATGATAATTTCGATTGTACCGATTTAATATCAATTTTACGAATCTTACATTTAGCGTTTGATGCTTAATATACTGGCATAATTAAGAGTTTTTAGCATTTTCTGCGATTTTTTACAAGAAATGTACATATGTCTTGTAAAACCATAAAAACGTTTAATTAAAAAAACTGCAAATTAAAAAATCATGTATATATCACACAATAAATCTGCTATCATATTCCGCTGGCAAGATATTTTTACTGGTATTCTGCCAACATAATTTACAGCAGGCACTTTGCTGAATCTATTTTCCACAGGCTCAGCTATCTAAAATAGATTTCTGATTCATCGTTATATACTGTGTTCTTTGTTGGACAATTATTCACAGAGATCTCTGATTATTCTAATAATTACGTCGATTTTCAGCTGTTGCGGTCATCGCCGCGCATCCATCGGAAAGAACATTTTTTCATCGTTTACAAGATATTCTTGAGCTTTGTGTCTGCGTGTTCCCGGTGATTGGAGAATGGAGATTTCAAATCGTGAAAGAAGGCCGATCGCTTATTTGACTCGGAAGGCACAGATATCCTGCTGCCATCGTTTGAACAGGTGCGTGTCGAATTGGTGAATAGAACGGATCTTTGATCTAACGAACACTTTATATAAATTTCACGATCGAGGAATCATTCTCAGGGAGAGAGAACGCCTCTTGTTCATTGCGAGCATACGATTTCCCGGAATATTATGCGATGTTGATGAATTACAAATCTTAAAATCAAATAACTTGAAATCTTTAACAAAGAACTTCTTCTCAGAAAATCCCAGAAAGTCATTCTTACAAAAAATTTATCGTTTTTCAATCATTTAAAAGATAATTAGACACTAATCAGTCTTCGAACTTCGGCAATCTACAATAGTTTGTTTTGTCTTCAAATGAGAAAAATTTCATTCTCGATCTTTATGTTTATTATTAAAAGCTTAAAAAAACTGTTGTTTTTACATACGAAAAAAATTATATATATGTATAATAACATATATCAAGCTCTTTTTTAGAGAAAAAAAGTCAATTTACTGAATTGATCAAAGGAAGATTTTGTTCAGAGAGAGAACACCATACCGATTTAAACAATTTAATTTTAGCCCATTCCTAAGCGAGCACGAGAATGAAGTAGTATACGGAAAGTGCAATAATGTTTGGGGACATGGGCACAATTACCATGGTTTGTATTATCAATTTATCACTTCATTGTTTACATTACATACTAGGCAAACACAAGAAGATCAGTCTTAAACAATATATCTGAAAAAATACATAGGATATTTTTTTCGTCGAATTAATTTTTTTCTTTTTCTAGCGGAAGCTTGGCATTTATAAGACCTAATTTAATTAGAATCATTTAATACATAAATTTTGAAGAGAGCATAGATTTGTAAGAAAAAGTTCTTGCTAAGAAGTTGGACATCATTGTTTTTGAACTTTTTCAACTTTTGAATTTTTAATGTTAAATTTTTTGATGCACGAAATCTTACGCATGAAATCTTACGCATGAAATCGGGATAAAATTAATTTAACTTTTAGTGGAAGTAACCGTTCGCGGACCTGTAAATCCGCTAACAGGAATGGTCATGAATTTGGAAGATTTAAAGGACTGTATGGAAAAGGTGTTGATGGATCAGATGGATCATAAAAATATAGATGAGCAAGTGGGCTACTTCCGAAAAACAGTTTCAACGACCGAAAATGTCGCTATATATATTTTCAATGAGTTAAAAAAGCACATGTCCAATCCCGAATTGTTGTATGAAGTAAAAGTCCACGAAACTGACAAGAATGTTATGTGTTTTAGGGGGGAGTACGATGAAAATGTACCTTCTGCTTCTTAATTATTAGATTATTTAATTGTACAAATTTATTCGTTTCTGATATTTGATATTTTTATTACACGTTTGTATAATACAATTACATAATTGTATAATATTTAATTACATTAAAATAATCGAAAATAATATATGTAAATTATGCATTATATGGATAATATATAAAATTTAACATTCCAGTTTCATTGTAATTTCTATAAATAAAACAGAGTAGTCGTAACAATTAATTGTAATTACAGTCCACAATACCGCAAAAAATTAAATGCTTCATCCAATATTTTCTTTATTGCACACACATACATATACATACACCACACACACACACACACACACACACACACGTAGTCTTACATCTAAGATGGTTGTTAAAATTTTGAGATTCTATTCTAATTAGAATTTAATTGATAGGACACTATTAAAATTAATATTTATATCTATGTTACATCTTTACATTTTTCTGGTACTTAAAAATATAAAATACACACGCATGCGTATTCTTAGTGACGATTTGTGTATTATAGCACATTTATAAAATAGTCCTTTGTAAAAAAGTTAACAAGAGTACATATCACAATGTAATCATTTCATAAATAATTTCTAATTCGCTAATGTATACATATATGTAATCATAATATCTGCGATTTTATAATCTCTTCGCATGAGAAATTAATCATTTTCATATACGCTGCTTTTAATTGTGTACAGAACTTATTACATCGTTTATAACAATGTAACATTCATCATAAAGCTGTATATATCTTTATAAGGTCAATTCCAGATTTTTATGGGAGAGAAACACTTTACTAACTAATATAACTAGGAGGAAAGCTAATTGTCAGGTAGAGATGTTAAGCTACTATGGGACATGTAATTCGCTTATTAGTCATTGATATTTTCAGTTATTTCAAGTGTTAAATAAATAAAATGTATAATATATAAAACAATAATTCAAAAGACGTATATAGTAGTAATAAATCAATGTCTCAAATCAAATATTACATATGCTCATTTATATAATGATTTTTGAAATTATTACTAAATCATAAGTATTCAATGTGCCACTTATGTAGACATTTTTTTATATCACATTTTCATATTTTTTCTCATAGTATAAAATTTAATTTTATATTTTCTTAAAGACATTTTATAATCAATTCTTTAAAACAAGATAAGACAAGATAAAGTATGATAAAATTAATGTTTACATGAATCACAGGACATCACATCGAACATCTGCGCATTTAAACGCTAAATATTGCTATAGCTGTACCAAGTATACTATCGCGTAATAAATAATAATGCATTACAGTATTAATGCTCTCGAAATTATTACGAGAGCTATATATTCATATTGTAACTCGACTTCACATAACTTCGAATAGTCACGTACGGTATACCGAGTTCAAAGTTGTCTCTGGGCCAATACTTGAGCACCGGAGATTGCTGCGGCTTCTCATCTTGCACGGCGAAGTACGCAAAGAGCACCGCCGCAGTATAACTCGCGATGAAGATAAACAAATGCCACAATGCATGGAGATACGGGAAGTTTAAATTCAGCCAGGTATCGCAGAACAGACGATCGTTTAGCCAACAGACCACTGCTAGTATCCACATGATGCCGCATCGCAACCCTAGTCTGTACACTCTTACCGAGGTAGTCCTTCAAATTTTTTAAGACACCGTTACAATCTTATTGTATTATTCTGTGCGACTTCTACATCGAATATATTCTTACGTTTCCGTTATATTAATCATTATTGGAGTTTCTCTTTTTAAATCCGCGTAATTTTTATATTGGATGTCTGTGTGTACAAAGAAATTACCTTTTCAGCTCCATGATCAAGAATCCAATCGCCGGTACGCCCAGGCTCATCAATGCGAAAGCATTTACAGCCGGATGTATCAAGGCCAAGCCGGTAGCGATTAGAGTGGGCAACGTTGCGCATATAGAGAAGAGCTTTCTGTCATTATGTACGACATTGGGGAAATATCTTCTGGGAAAGAACATACAGAAGCCTGCCATATACACCCACAAAATAGACAATTCATCTAATAGTTGACCTATCGCATATATGCACAAAATTAGCTATAACGCAACATAAATATTAATTTCACCAATTAAGCAAATAAACATACATTTTGACAAGTACTTTTAAATAGCACTTCTTTCGTTATGAAAAACATTAAATTTCTTAAATTGTTAAGTAATAAATATTGATACTTGGAATTCTCACCTATCAAGGATAAAGTAGCATGAAAATACGCACTAGAAAGTCCGACTACCATCAATAAAAACCAAAATACATGAATTCCTGGATTCACAAAGCGTGCATAATCTCTAAATAGGTGCATGAGCACGGGTGGAAGCAACACGAAGACCACATTACTCAACTAGAAAATAAAAACAGTAGATAAGTTAAACAATGAAAAATATACTCTACTCCCTTTCTATATTTGTATTCCCTTTCATATTTATTTTTCCAATACAATTCATCATGATTTAACGAGTCTGTGCCAAAAATGGTCTTTTATATTTACATAAACTATATTTAGCAGAAATATAATATCATGTTCCATTGTTCTAACTAAAATATGAAATAGTTCCAGATAAAACTGTTTTCAACAACTTCCGTTTATACTAGTGCGATAAAATTTCTAGATGAAGATAAAGGCTCATCAGATACAAATAAGAAAAGATAAAGACTCATCATATATCAGAGTTATTGGAAATAAGAAATAATGAATCAAGATAAATTAACTATATTCTTCCTTGTCTTTATATAGGTATAAACGTACTGTTGTTTTGTTATCTTTCTAGTATATATCCTTTGTTCTGTTTAGTAATATTATTTCATTATTCGCAATTACACGACAAGCTTTTGTCTCGGATTTAAACAACTTCGACCTATGAAATTGTCGACATATTTAGAACCTGCCTTAAGCAAAAAATTACCCGTCCCGACAAAAAACTGGAAATCATTTATATACTTGTATTGATGTAACTCTGAATATTAAATATCTTTATGATTAATTTAGAAAATACTGGATATTAAGATTTTATTGTCCACTTGTACCTTTCTCTTGAGGAAAAAGTTGTCATTTCGTAACTTTTAATTATAATTCAATCGTATCTCAATTCTCCTAGTTGAATAACCATTGATATCAGGACACTTTTGTGCGGAAAAAATAAATTCCTATTTAGAATTTATAAGAAATAGCCATAAAAGCTGTATATCTTTTTTATCTTGTTTATAAAGTAATATAGACTTCCTTTATCACAAGCATTATATCTGATTTATGACGCTTTTTTTTAATTACATTATTTTTTACATTGATTTGACATTTTACAAATGTAGAATTTGCCTTGTGCAAAATACTACTTATCAAACTGTTTTCCTCATGCAAAACACCTGGAAACTCATCAGTAGGTCTATTCTGTAACTTGTAACTATATAAATATTCATCTCTCAACAAAAGAAAAAACAGGAAATTCATTATCATTTAAATTTATATAATTTTCAACATTAAATATCTTCGAGATAAATTATTCCTCAGTCTCTAGGGAAGACCTCTAGGTCTCCCTACTTTCGGGTCAATCACGTAATTAAAATTCTATCGAATTACGATTCTCGTAACTCAAGAAGCATTGATACTTGAACTTTCTTGTCCAGGTAGAACCGTTTTCAAATTGATCGAACAAAGAAAGGTCCATACACGCACATAAAACATATGTGTAAACAAACGCGCAATACAAACCGTGTTCATAAACTCGGCGATGCTAGGAGAGATGTTGTAGTTGCGCTCGCACCAATCTACGGGCGAACTGCCAGGTTCGAAGGGTTTCCACATAATTGCTATTCAGCAAATCTCTTCGGGTAATTCACAAACTGCTTGAATCAGTAGAATAGTAGATCGAGGGATATCTATTAGGCTTGGTCTCTCATAGAATCATTGCCTCGCGCTCAAACAATAGACATCTGTGTACAATTCACGCGCGCAATAAATGCCGTACGATTCCCCTTGCACGAAAAGAATAAAGATGCGTGTACTTCGTTCCTGGTTTAACGTGATTTAACGGTACATATCTCGCGGAAATACTCCCGATCACTCACGATTACTCACGAACGACTGACAACTGCTGACAACTTATAACGACGTAACTGGACGTAACGCGACCCGGGTACCTATCATGGAACAAAGTCGGAATGGATTCCGAGATCGGAATTATTCAATTATTCCCTAGATTTCTATTGTGTTTTCTGGAGAAAACGGAATAATTCCGATCGGAATCCATTCCGACTTTGGCTACGTTTACACCGTGCGCTTAGTCCGCGACCTATACGATAAATGTCTTTGTTTAGCCTACAGGATAAAAATATAAACGTAGTCTTTGTTCCATGATAGGTACCCTGACAACAGTGACGACCGAACGTAACCAACTGCGAATGCGGACTGACCCAGGCAGGACTGACTTCGCTATCCACTGACTCCGCCAATCCCCGCTCGCTAGCTAAATACGAGTACCCGATTATCCGCGACGTTTCCTGACGTTTCCACACCACGGTGCACCGTGGAGAAGGGTAGATAAATGTGCGCTCGCGCACAGCAGCACAGAGCACACCACTACGACGAACTTGGACCAGTTGGACCAACCAAACTTGGATCCTTCAGCCTTGGACGAACTGCAATGAATTGCGATGAATTGCGATGAACCGCGATTGCTGCGATTGCTGCGATATTAACGGCCAGGAGGAATATATTATTATTATATTCAGCAGTATTTCGCCGAATCGCGACTTTTTCTGCCTCTATATGTACGACAGATCTGTCCAATTTTAAATTTTTTTACGTCAATGACTTTGCGTTTTGGCTCCGGAGTTCAAATTGAACAAGCTTGATCTACGAGCTACGTTTTATATTAATATTGCTTATGGTAGATACTTTCACGGATCAGCCGAAAAAGCACCTTGGAATCTTTGAATCAACTTGTTATCGACATAGGTCAAAGCAAAAGATCACATATTGCAGTTGCAGATTGCAATTTATATATGCGTAGTGAACTGTACGCGCAAACGCTACCGAAGGGGTATAAGTGTGTTCAAGAATTACGTCCAGACATAATTCTAGGCTACAGTTTACGTCACGTATACTATATCAAAAGTACTACATCCAGAGTTATTTAGACCGTTAGACGTAATTCTTGAACGCCTCAAGGATTGTGACACAGCTGGACACTGCTGTGCCACATACTTTTCCCCGCGAGATAAGTTTCGGAATGCGCTAAATTCGCGAAAATGATTGCAATCACGGACCAGCAGTGGAATTCTGTAACTCGGTTATGCAGTCGTTATGAGTTCATAACGAGTTACAGAATTCCACTACTGGGCCCCTATTCTTGAAAAGTATCGCATACGAAAAACTAGAGAAATGCTATAGTATATGTAACGCATACTATAGTATTTCCCTAATTTTTCGTATGCGATATTTTTCAAGAATAGGGACTCAGGGATATACATATATCATCGATATCATAAAAATGACATCGCCGTGCCGAGAAGATGGAAGCTCTAAAAAAAAGGAAAAGAAAAAGAATTATTGTATCTGAATTCCCTCAATCGAGTGTTGGTGTCGACTAGGTTGTCTTGGATTCAGAGTCGTCTACTGTACAAATACTTCTTTAAATTCTCTTTAAAACTTGGTTAAAAAAATTCGCTTTTAAACGTTCCCCATAACAACACAATTAGTCTTTGTTTCCCAAACAAATTTTTGCTCTTGATCTCTCAATATCACGATTTTTACGTCAACTAATTATTTTCATTCGCTTGATAATATAAGCTACATTTATTTACAACAAAGTTACAAGTTATATATGGGACGAAGCGCATGATGAAGTTGAATACAACTGTCGCGCAATCAAACTACAAACACACTTGTGCGAGATACTCGCACAAGATTTCAATTCTGCCAGATTTTCTGAAATACAGCCCCGAATCCGTCATCGCGTCCTAGTGCGCGTCCTCTCTGTCCGGACTGCGGTAACCGCCATGTCGACGTACTCGTTAATGAGAGGTATCGCCTGCTCGATCAAGAGTACCTCTGCGGCTGAGATTTTCGGCAAGCCAAAATTTCACTTGATACCTTCCGGGCCTAGCTCTAGCTCGCTGGTGAAAAATCGGCAGACCGGCAGTACGTCCGACCGTACGTAGGCGCAGGTGATGACGTGGTTGTGCCCAGATAGACCAGCAGCGAGGTTGATTATCAGCTTGGCAGCAGCCGTTCCGAACGATAACGATGGATCTTCCTCGATGAACGCTGTCCTTGTCTCCTCGTCACCGGCCCGAAACGATTGCAGCAGGGTCTTGCGTTGTGCCTGATACAGAATTATAACAGAATTAATTATTACGTAGAGATACGTAAATTATATAACTTAATTAACTAGTGCAAGACTTAAGCGATACCGTGCAATTGCAGTTGTATAAATATCGTTAATTACGTATTAATTAACGAAGGTATAAATACATTAAGAATCCAGAAGATATTTACAAGAGATGCGTATATGATGCGTATTTGATCTTTGCTCGTTCAATGTATCTGTGCTATACCTAAAAATCTCGGTTCTTAGTATATAATTTGTTTTTAATTTTTAGAGAATTAGTAGAATTTTAATTTTTTTTCTGCAGATGAATGTAACTATGTAACTATTTTATTTAGGTCGATGTTATGCAGGTCGTTTCTTTCTACTTGTCAAATAAAACAGAGAAAAAATTGCAGAAGTTACTGTTCCCCCCTCTCTAGCTTTAATATATATTTTTTTCTCTTCACTGCGTTCAGGGAGACGCTATTAGCGCCGTGTCTGTATTCTATCCTTGTTATCCTTGTTTAATAAATAACGAAGATTGGCTACGTTTACATCGTGCGCTTAGTCCGCGACCTATACGATAGGTGTCTTTGTTTAACCTACAGGATAAACAAGGACATCTATTGTATAGGCCGCGACCTAAATGCACGGTGTAAACGTAGCCATAGAATGTAAGAAGTAGCGCTAATAGTCTCCCCGAACGCACTATTAGGAAGCAATTTTTTATTCCCTTTAAAGAATTAAATATGATTATAGTATCTATAATATTTATAAAGTATTGAATTAAATTGAATTAAATAATTTTTAATAAACTTACAAACATTAAATTAATTTGAACATTTTTTAAAAGCACATTACGATTGTTTAAAAATGACTTATACTAACGGTTTAGAGTGTGTTTAAATTCTTTAAAAATATATACTATATATTAGAGGCCGAGATTAGAAATTAAAATTTCATGACTGATTCGTACATTTGTGAAT